TTAGTGGTTGTTTTGATTCTAAATTATTTTGTTCAAACAATTGAATCCTTGAAATGTATTGAAAGAAACTGAATATATAGTGATAACTCCTAATATAAAGATAGAAACTGAATATATAGTAATAACTCCTAATAGAAAGATAGCATAATAACAGTCAATAATCACCACTAAAATGTAGCCACTGTTGCTCCTTAATAACACGATTCATTAATCACAGAATACTAAATATTGCAATCACAACTGCAAACATTAAAGATTGCATAATTGCACCAGTCACAGCTGCTAACACGAATTGCATCAATCACAGTTGCTAAGTCAAAAGATCACAGTCACAATTGCTAACTCAAAAGATTGCAGTCACAACTGCTAATAATATGCGAAAGTACAGAAGATGTTTCTAAGGTTTCCAAGGTTGTGAGGACTGTGATTTGGAGCTTCCTTGACTTAACTGTGCAGCTCTTATCCTTGTCCGGATAACCTTTTTTCCTGTTATCTGATGGAGTTATCTTTGTGTCACTGCTTTTCCTTTCCACTTTACTCTAGTTAATGGTGTATGGCCAATATCTCCAGTGACATCTGCTGAAGATATAATATTTTTGGCCTACTTGAAGGCATTCCAAGCTGTTAAAGAAAGATACTATTTGTTAGTCTAAACATATAGTACCACTTATTTGATATACAAAAGGTAATAAGAGGCCTTACATTAAGGATGGTGTAGCTATTTTCTATTTGAAGCACCCCCATTCCAACCACTCTTGGTCGTTTGTAGGAACTTGTCTAATTGGTAGAACCTTTTGGTCTATCCTTTCCTCTTCCAGTTTTTGGTGTTGTAGTAGACTTAAAACTACCCCTTGGAATTTCACTAGTTGTTGCATTTGCTCCTGCACTTTCTATTGTAGTTGCTGCTACACTTCTACCCCACTTGTTGCTGCAGTTAAAGCTGCTGCCTGGGTCTTATGACACCCTCTCTTATTATGGCTTTTCTCATTACATGCTCTACATGTCATATCCAGTCCTCTCCTAGACAGTTTATCAGTCTTGTTTTCAGTTTGCTCTTTTATTTTAATTTTCATTGACCTCCTAGCATCTTTCTGAATATTGGTGGAATAATAGATACATTCTCGGGGTCTGGCCACTTTGACATATTAAAGGTAGGCTGAATGAAATGGTTGTACACTTTCAAGTAAGTCTCTTTTGTATACCAGTGAGCAACATAGTTAATTGGCTCCAGCTTTTTGAAGTGAAGGGAAGCTACTGCACGAGCACATTAGCATCCAAGATCTGCAACTGCATGTCATGGTTTGTAAAAAAATAAATGTTTCAGATATTCATCTTCTTTCACTTCATATTAGGTGTCTCCATTCCACATAATATCACACTTTATTGACTTGGCTGTGTTGTTTTGTAAAACCTTCAATGTCAATGGTGAGATATCACAGATCCAAAAATTGGCAAATTCTCTCAATCGCCCAATCTTGTTCATCATTATCACTCTAATTTCATCAAGCATTGTTATAATTTTCTTGTGTCTTGGCTCTAATATCCAGGAATTGAAGCTTCCAGCCATTTTGTTGTTCACACTATCACAGTTGCTGAAGAACTTGAACTACACTTTAGAACACCTTTCTTTGGCATATCACAACTTCATCAATGATTCCTTTACCACCTAATCTTTCCATGGAGTCAATATTCTTTCTCAATTCTGCCTTATAAGTACTTCTAGCACACCTCAAGAAATAATTTCTTCTTTTATTGCCTCTCTACTTCTTGGACTAATTAGCTAGAATGTGTCTAGCACACATCCTATGTTCACAGTTTGGAAGTACTTTATCCATTGCTTGATACAATCCCTACATAGAAGAATAGAAAAAAAATACAATAACATATCAATAAGACTTATGGAAACAACAAAAGAAAATAAACGCAAAGAAAGCATAAAAATAAAATAAAGAACAGAATACTAACCTTCTGCATGTCTGTTATGAATATGAAATTTGTCTCATCTCCAAGTTCAAGGTTATCCTTCAACAGTCTTAAAAATCAGGTCCAATTAAACTTATTCTCAACCTCAACCACTATCCAAGCTAGAGGCAGCATTTGGTTGTTACCATCTGTACACACAGCAACAAGCAATTGCCCCTTGCAAATACCCTTTAAAAACAATCATTTAATCCAATACAGGGCCTACAACCACCCTTGAAGGCCTTTTTAAATGCATCAAAATAGATGTAGAAGCAAAAAAATATTTTTTTTGCCACATTCAAAAGTCTCTTCACTTAGTTTAACTACACATGTACTACGAAGATTAGACCTAAGCATTTCATCTTTATAGTTCAAAATTCTAATATACTCCAGCACATGGTCACCTGCTATATTATTCAAAATCCTGTTCCTTGCTTTCTTATAAATTGATCTCCCAACATACAAACCTAATTCTTTTCATATAAGCTGTTGAAACTTAAATATCCTGATGTTAGGTTGCTCTCTTATTCTGTCTTTGAATTTCTCAGATAAGTATTTGTTGTTGCGCAGTTTGTTCTTGTTAGTAGGTTTATACGTGTGTATTGGAATGCACTTCTTCACAACAAAGTCTTTAGTCTTAGAGTCATAGCTAGCAAACAGATGCCAAGGACAACTATCCTTGCACTTACACCTCACCATTGTTGGTTGATTAATATATTTTTTCACAACAACTTTTTCTTCAGTAACAAACCTAGTAAGAGCTTCTCTAAACTTGTCAACACTCTCAAATGCAAAACCAAGCTCCCACATAATTTGCTTATAGTTTGGGCCAAACATCACTCTTTTTTTTAACCTTTCTTCTTCTTGTTTTGGGTTTCCTTTGATTAAACTCTCCCTCTCCTATATCATCATCATCTGTATCTATTTCAAAACTGGCAGCCTCATCAGAAGGATAATATGGCTCATCGCCTCCTATTTTACCATCCAAAGGATTCCTTTGTCCTAACTCTTTCCTAGCTGCATACTCATTATAACTCACATCTACTATTTTTTTACCCAACTTAATACCCTCAGTTGCAGGAACTCTAACATTCCTCTTTTTTCTCTGCTCAATTCTTCTTTCATCCCTAAATGACCTATACTTGTCATGTATATCACTACCATAATCCTCATTTCCTTCTTCAAATAACTCTACATGACCTGAATCTGAGCTATTCTTAGTACTAAAACCATCTTCAGATTCAGCAGGTTCAGATGGGCCAGCAAGTTCAGGAGGGGCAGTAGTATCAAGGGGGCAAGTAGTATCAAAAGGAGCACTTGGTTCAGCAGGGCCACTAGTCGATGCCTCTTCATATGTACCCAGGTCTTGACCAAATTCTAAGAGAGGGGGACCACTACTGGTTCATCAACCATGTGCTCCACAAATACATCCAAGATATCCCCATTTTTTAATACTTGACAAATACTCATAATGTCCTATCCACTTTAATTTCTACCAAACCAGGACAATAAGGTGGCTTTACATAAATATGAGTAGAAGAAGGAATATAGCCAAAGTCTATAACATAACTTAGAAATTCAAAGTAGGAGAACCTATCTACATCAACATCAACTGCAAAAGCAAAAACTCCACCTATATAATCCTCCTCTGTCAAGGAGTTTAGCTTATCCATGGAGATTTTTTCTCCAAGGAAGAATCTTACTGTGACTAATTCAAAAGATATTTTAAACCCAACGCAAAGTAGATATATAACTATATCAGACTACTATCTACCAATTTAAACCACATGCAACAACATATTCAGTACTATTACTGTAGCAGTGACAAAGAAAACCCTAGAGCTCAAAACAACATAAAAACGACGAACAACGCTAACCTTTAAAAAGCATATGTTCTCTCCAAAATCTATATCGAAGAAACATTGTGGAATCAATGCGTGGTAGTGACTGAACCACTTTCCTTGCAACTCGAACAAATCCAGCAACTCGAACAAATCCAACAACTCGTCAAAAACCAAAATATCAGTGAAATATAATGAAAATTTGAGATTCTAACTAGGTTTAATCAAAGAAACATTCATCTTGTCCTTTCAATTTTATTTGGAAAGAATGAATTTCAGACGGATTTGAGATTAGGGCTTTTTCGTCGACTTGGGTATTTTTTACAGCGTGGGTAAAATGAACTGATAAGGAAAATAGGTTGGGGGTAAATATTTGGCTACAAACGATGTCGTTTTTAAACGTAAAAATTGGTTAAAATAATTAATTATAGTCAAACTAATAATACTCTCCTAAGTCTTCATTTAAATAAGTGGCATCACCAGATGGCGTGTGTATGCTACACAACATAGAATTACTGGGAGATAACTTACAAGGGTGCGCAAAAAATCAATCGTAACAAATATAGGGTGATATTGGAACACCGGTAAAGGTTGAGTAGAAAACTCATTTATTGGGACAAGTTCAGAGTGCATGTTATGTATTATCCCATAAGTAAATAGACAATAAGACATTTAATTTGGGACAGAAAAATTGCTTTCAATTTTGATTAATTAATCAAACAATTATAGTATTATTTACTTAAGTCGAGAGGGTGAGGGATATATATCGTGAGCTTTATGCCGTATAACAATTATACTTTAGGCACTTATAAATACTATGAAAAGCATTGCTATATAAAAATAATCTTAAAATTTGATTTATCACTAAATGAAATACTCCTACATTAATAATAATATACTTTATTTTATACTACTCCTATTATTTATGTATATAACTTAACTCCGTACAACTATGCATATATATTGAGGGGGTAAGGAGAAAGAAGTGACGCAGAGATGAAATTGTACAAATTCGCCTCTCTTTTTTTCCTGAAATTTGTAATGACATCTTTGGTGGTTTGTGTACGTCCACTTTAACCCATGCAAGTAGGTAATGGCTTTGTCTCTCCCACTAGCAAACCATCCATGTGATTTGGCTTTCTAAATTTCTGTATGTATATATACATATCACACATATACTTACTATCATANTTTATTTGTTCATATACCTAATTCCTAGCCACAGACTGATCATTTCGAGCTTTGAAGCACAACAAAAAGTACCTCTCTCTCTCTCTTTATTTTCCAATTCTTTGAATACTGAAACTCATAAGGTACACTACTCCTTCCTCTATTTCATCTTGGCCTTTTTCGTGCTTAGATCAAATAATTGTTTGAAAAGATATCTCTCTGAGTTTTTGGATTTTATTCTTCTGCATTATATTCCTAGCTATGATCATTGATCTTTTTATAATTTTATGTCAAAGTTTTTTGATTCTCATCACGTTCACGTACGCTCTAGCTCAATTCCAACAATAAGCTAAGTTTCTCTCTCTTCCTCTCTGCACTCTCTGTATGTGTCTGTCTTTCTTTTCTAATCGAAATCACTAAAACAGTTTACATAAAATACTTTCCTGGGGCTTTACATAAAATACTTTCCTGGGGCTATGTATGAAGTTATATTAATTATTTACCATTTCTTCTGTTCTGATCTTCCAAATTATTTTAATTAGTTTCCATTTCTTCTGCTTCCTTTTGTTCAAAAACTTTTCATCTCCTCTCTCAACTGGTATAAATCTTGACCAATAGTACCCAAATGCATACATTTTCAGGTCCTTCTACTGATACATACGATACTATATACCTTCAAATACGGGCAAGCTAATGATATCTGAGCCCTATTAGCCGTATATATAACGAAGTTCTTCAAAAAGGACTTAGCACAGAAAAAATTATAAAATGGAGCAAAGAGGAAATTTTTAGTGATGAATACAGGGAATTGCGTTTAGTTAGTTAGCTACTCTATCCTTTTGACTTTCTTTGGTTTGGACATGTCTTCCTCAACTAGCTAGGTCAAAGGAAAGATTTATAGCTTAGGATCATATATATATATATATATATATATAAAGACTAGTTTAATCAGAAAATGTTTGTTTTTTTGTTAACCCATAGTTTAGTAACGTGACAAAGCCAACGTTAGTTTGCCTTTTTCCCCTTTGGATATTTTTGGAGAAGTAATTATGAATCTCATATGATATCACTGAAATTAGAATCAAAAGGCTGCATGAATGATGTAACTACTATATCCTTGCAAAAGTGAACATGATACAATCACTAGTTATTCTTAATGTAATAATGTATTATCTAATAATGACCAGGCGCATGAGACTTATTTTTGGATTATTCATTTTTGAATTGATTCAATAATCTAATGCAGTACTACAACAACAACAACAACAACGCAGTAAAATTTCACTAGCAAGGTCTGGGAAGGATAGAGTGTACGGAAACCTTATCCTTATCTCGGAGAGATAGAGAATAATCTAATGCAGTAAAGTTCTTAATTGTCAATCTATGTTATCGCAACTTAAAATTCTTGAAATGATGCAACTGAAATAAGAGGAGCTTCTCCCTGATTTGTCTTTGTTTTGTAGTAGTACTAGTTTTCTTCTCTTCCTTGTTTCTTTTTTTAGTTTTTTTTTATTCTTATCTTAACCACACAGTACCTTTTGTACTTCTACATTAACAATATTGCACTTCACTTCTAGTCAACAGAATTTCCAATAATCTCTTTGAAGTGTATGCTAACCCCATATATATATATTGAAGGAGTCCATAGAAATCCAACCTAATCTTAAGGATTTGGCTCTTGATATTATCCTTCTACAACAGGTCAAACTGCACTACTTAGTAAAAATTTCTTTACTAGATGGATATAAGATAATTCATTTTTATTTTGGTCATTTTGCAGCTATAACCCTACTTCCTATTGCATTTATAATATAGTTTAATGCTTGTTCAATCATAATTTGCAGTTTTATGACTCTTACTCATTCCCATTTTAGTGACACTATAATGGTGCAATGCATTTTAGGTGCTACTTTGACCAGTATTTATATATTAATATAAATAGTAATGAAAGAAAATGGTGAAGTAATAGAAAAGTTGGGCTTCAACATAAAACATCATATGGACTCAAATTTGATTAATTAGTTGGCTAGATTTGAATTCCAGAAACATTCGGAAGTTGTATAAAATAATATTATTAGTAGGATTGTGTCAAACTTCTTCGGATGTCAAAACGAAAAGATTGTTGTATAAATGGGTAAGGACTAAGGATGGAGTATTACCAAGTTCATTTTCACAGATAAGGAAAAGAAAAAATAAAGAATACAATTTGCATTTCATTTGACCTAGCAAAATCTACATCCATATAGTTGGCACTCCAGCCAGAGTATATTTAGAAGATGATAGATATTCTTCACCTTTCTTTCTGGGTAAGCTACAAAAAGAGAAGAAAAAAAAGTCGGAATTTTAGGGCATTTTCTTGCTTCTTTTTGCAAGCCTTTTAGCAGGATTCTTACCAATTCATAGTAGTATGTCTTTTCTGAAAGCCAAAACTTTTGGTATCAGTTGAATTTTGCATGACCATCTGGCCGCATGCATGTTTCTAATTAAGCTTAATGACACCTATATATTTTTTGTAAAGTAGAGTCATATTTGTCACTTATTTTATGTGACACATTTTCCTAGTTTTGCTCTATCCTGAAAAGAATGACAACTTTTTATAAAATTAAAAATAATTTTACTTTAAACTTTTCACTTTATCCTTATTTAATGACATGATTTTATAGTCGAGAAATGTTCATAGCATATCTCATAGCAGGGGCGGATTCAGTGCATTAGTTGCTGGTTCCCGTGAACTCGGTAACTTTTGTCTAGATCCGGTATTTGTATTGAAAAATTTATTTAATGTTTAAGAATATTTAGCTTGGAACCCAGTCAGCTAATCCAGTCATTATTGTATACTATTAACTTAAGATTTCTGTAGGAATCCATAAACTTAAATTTCTGGATCCGCCTCTGTCTCATAGCATATCTCAGACCACACTAGTTTCATAAATCTTTCTTTCTTTTTAAACTCCATAAGCAGAAAACGAGATAGAAGGAGTACTTAATTTCATCGATTATCTTAATTTACAGAATGGTCCGCCCAACTCAAGTTTACTAGGAGATTATTTAAGTTATATACTCTGGTAGTGTAAACATAATTTGCATTATAACTATCGTTTAACCTATTATGACATATTAGTAATAACATTTTTATCATATCACCGGTACGAGTAATACTTATGATAGAGATTTACCCGAACTTGTAAGTTGTCCAAGTATTTTTAGACGGTTAGTGCATAAAAAATTACTCACTTAAATTCAAAAAATAGCTTATGTTTACAGTTGGTATATAGTATGTAATTATTTGTATATGTATCCTAATTCTTACAATAATTCTTGACAGCACCTTGATCAACATATATATTATTCCATTTCCACAAGATCAATGGAGGAGCAACAGAAGGAGCTGCACTTTCTACCTAATCATCCAAATGCCGCAGCTTCCTCTTCTTGGCCATTAGATTCCTCGGCAAACTATAATATCCGATCATCAGAATCAACAGAAGCTCCATCTTTGGACCTTCAACTTTCAATTAGCGTAAGACCTATAAAACCACCAACATCAGATCAAGGTGTCCTAATAAGACCAGTAAATCATCATCAGGATCACTACAGCGACGTCCGGTTCGACTCCGGCTACGTTGAGGCACTGAAATGGCAAGCTGCCGAGCAAATCCGGTTGGCTGCAATAGAGAAAGCTTATGCTGAACGTGTGAGAGAGCTAACTAGGCGAGAGATAGAAATGGCTCAGTCAGAATTCGCACGTGCGAGGAGTATGTGGGAGAGAGCTAAAGAGGAAGTTGAAAGGGCAGAAAAGTTGAAAGAGAGAGCAACTCGTAGGATTGATCCTACTAATTGCATGGAAGTTACTTGCCAATCTTGCAGTCAAAAATTCCGACCTCATTAATCTATATTTATGAGGAACAAATAAATAGTAGGATAAGATGTTAATTAATGAACGTGCTTTCTAATAATTAAGAGTAATTAATATAATTTGTGTTTTAAGGGTTTTGGCTGAGGAAAGATAAAAGAGCTGATGGTAAATGATGTGTAGAATGCATTCTTTTCCTGTGATTGGAACTGCAAAACTTAAGTGGAATAATTGTATGATTTTTTTGTTTTCTGCTCTTCTCCATTACCAATTGATTTTTGAGTTATGTAGTATCCTTGGCCCTGGCAGAATTTAACTATGTATGTATGATTCTTCCTTTTTTTGGAGAAATGTAGTCGTCATAATATTGGAAACATACGAGAATATTGGATGGGTTATTTGTGTTGTACACCGTGGCGAAGTCGATTATTAATATAAGAAATAAACTCACCAAAAAGTTAAGGGGTGTCAATATATAGTATATATACATTTTTTTATAAAAAAATTACCCAGCTACACAGTATGATTTTCCGACGAAGGGGTGTCAACCGACACCCCTTAGGTGCATGTGGCTACGCCACTGGTTGTACATAGTTTTATAGCACCTATCCCACTTTATATGACATAGTTATTAGTTGGAGAGTTAAAAGAGTTTTTCTTTGACCATAATTTTTGCCTTTAAATATTTTTAATTGTTAATTATTGTAATTTATATTACTTCTTCCGTTTCAATTTATGTGAACATATTTGACTAGGCATGAAGTTTTAAAAAAAAAAAAAAAAACTTTTGAACTATGGTATAAAATGAGGCACATATATTTGACTAGGCATGAACTATGGTATAAATCATTGCATAAAGGTAAATTGTTTCCAAATATGAATTATAATTATTCTTTTTGGCGACTAAAAAGGAAATATGTTCACATAAACTAAAATTGAGAGAATACTTTATATCTAGTTTTTAAATATATCTAAATCCAAATTCACATTGAAATTAGTTAATTTGATCATAATGTTGTCACATAAAGTGAAACGGAGGAAATATTTAATTTTGACTGATGAGTCATCCAACAATGTCATTGCGTTATGGTGAGTTAATGTAATCAGTTGTCACAAGTAGCAATATTTTAATCAGTTAATGTAAGTTATGCACTTAAGGCAAGAAACGCTTTGTTCTACATTCTAGTATATATTAGCACATTTGACAAAAGAATGATTGCGTGATATAATTTGACTTTGGAGTTCACAGCAATACATACTTTTTTTCATCTCGTAGATCTAGTTATTATAATAGGTAGTGATGCAATCCCTCCTTGGAATCTCTGTTGATACACACAATCAATTTAAAGGACCTATTTTACTTTTTAACAATCAATTTTTAGTTATTTAATTAAGATAGCGAATGTCATGATTACACTGAGTAACTGATCGATCACTTAAACTACAAAATAATTTGAAAACCAAAAAAGATAAAAATGACGTTCAATAGTAATCTACTTAAAATAAATCAATAAAAAACTTTAAAGAAAGAACTACAGATAATAATTGAAAGCTGCTCAAGTGAAGTTCTTATATTACAGTTTCGAATTAAAAGAAAGTCATCTAAATATATTCCTAATAATGTTACAAAATGAAGAACTAAAAATAATCAGATAATAATTGTACTAATAAGACTTTTACTACGGCTAGTTAATTACTTCTGATTTTGAAGCTGGAAAACATCCCTTACTTGAAGAACTGAAAAATCAGAATCAATCAATACATCCATAAAGAAAAGATTGACCAAAAGTCATTTAATTAATATTGTTTCAATTAGTTAAGTTTCACAACAAAAAATTAGTCCACCTATACCAAAATTAATTTAAGTGAAGGTCTTATTATTCGAGGAGCAAAGAGTTTTTTTTTCTTTCTTCATTACAATTTTCTCAAACTTTTTAAATATTTGTAGGAGTTCTTGTTAATCAATGTTTGTAAGTGCCGGGCTAGTTTCCTTACGATGACAACAACAACAATAACAATCCAGTGGAATTTCATAAGTGGAGTTTGGAGAGGGTAGTGTGTACGCAGACCTTACCCCTACCTCTACCTATGAAAATAGAGAAGTTGTTTTCGAAAGACCCTCGGTTCAAGAACATAAAAAAAAATGGAGCGTTAGTCTCCTTATGACAGTTACGTTGCATCTATTTTGGTATCACCTTGAGGTTGTTTTATTAAAAAAAAAAATTATATCTCATAGAGATAACTTGGTTTAGATATACATCTTGATAACTAGGACTTGTTGGAAAAATTGGATGATTATGGAGAATAAAAAGTTTAGTTTGAGGCGTGTCAAGGACACTGTCCTTAAGGATATTTCGCCCACACCGAGATGAATAATATTAGGCATCTCCCCCAGGATTCAACAAGCTCTTCTACTATAACTAGGAGCAAAAACAACAAAGATTTATAAGAAGAAAACCTAGCACAAAAAAAAAAAAAGGAAAGTTTTACTAATTTCACTCCTTTTCAAAGTGACCACACAAAGGACTTATATAGTCCAAAAACAGAAAGTACCCATCTAATAATGAATCTAAACCATAAAAGCTCATCCAAATTTTTATTGCTTTTCTGTTAAACAACATAAAGACAATCATTAAAAATATTTAACTCCATTAAGGAGCCAAATTCCAACTGATGTAACGTAAAGAAACGTCTAAGAAATAATTCCTAAATCAATGTTAAGAAACAGTCAACTAAGATCATATTTGATCAGATTCAAAGATGTAGAAAAATAACTTATTTTAATAGCCATTTAATGATAATAAATATTATATTCAAAGTTATTCTAATTTACTTTTACACACATTAAAATATATTCAAATTGATTGATCATATAAAAACTCATTAAAAGAGTGAACCTAGACATCAATTTAAATATTCTTGTTGTGATATTAAAAATATTATTTTTTTAACAATCCCCCACATAGCTCAAAAAGAATATTATAATGAAAAATAAAAAATTTCGCTGGGTTTTCACAAATGAGCATAATGCATCGAATCTGCTGTCTCTTGGACTATGAACCAAACCAAGATAAAATAAGATTAAACTTACAGAACAATTGGTGAAATTTAGAACTTCTATGAACCAAGAATTCTTTTGTAAGTTTAGTGTCTTACCTATCACATTATACCCGCACACACTTTGTTGTTTGTCGCGGTTTTGCGCTAATAGGTCATGCGTGCGCCTGGTTTTCATGAGTGCTCTAGAAATTTTTTGCCATAAATTTCATAGGAGCGGCCCCACTCCACACTCATATAGGTCCATCCATCAAGTGTATTTTGCAGCATAATACACCACCTATAAAAGGCTATGAATTAATAGATTAAGAGTTTAATAACTCAGCCTCTCATTCCTTGCAAACTTGCACTATATACACACATACACCATAGGAAGGGATATAATTTAATAGTGCACATTTGATCAACTAATGACTTGTTATTACCTATATGAACCTACTTCATGGGATCTCCAATCACATAGGTTGGGTTACCATCATAGTTGATATAACTCAAATTGGCGAAAGTCTCATTCCCCTCGATATTTTAGATATTAATTTTCTTCCCAAAGGTTTAGTCAGAGGATCAGCCAAATTCACTTCTGACTTCACATAATCTATGGAAATAATTTCATCTTTCAGCAGCTGCTTTATCACATTATGCCTCAATCAGATATGTCTACTCTTCCCATTAAAGGATTTATTTTTGGCAATGGCTATTGCATCTTGGCAATCACAATGCATCGACACAGAAGGTGTCGGTTTAATTCCTAGTGAAATACTCGCCAAAAGGTTCTTTAACCACTCGGCCTCATTGCCAGCTAATTCCAATGCCACAAACTCAGATTCCATGGTAGATCTAGCTATTATTGTTTGTTTAGCTGTTTTCATGCCATAACACCCCCACCGAGGGTGAACACATAACCACTAGTGAATTTTGTCTCATTTGAATCAGAGATCCAGTTAGCATCACTGTATCCTTCTAGTACAGTGGGAAATCCACTATATTTAATACCATAGTTCATGGTACCTCTCAAATATTTCATTACTCTTACTAATGCATTCCAATGATCATGACTTCCGTTTTGAGTATATCTACCCAATCTACACACAACATATGCAATATCAGGTCTAGTAAAATTTATCAAATGCATTAGAATGCCAATAACTTGAGCATAATTATTTTGATCTACAACATCTCCCTTATTCTTTTTTAATTGACCACTAGCATCATAAGGAGTGCTTACGGGTACCACATCAAAATTATCAAATTTTTTAAGAATTCTTTCAACATAATGTTGTTGAGTCAACATCAAACTATTGTCATCTCTTATAATTTTCATGCCTAAAATAACACTAGCTTCTCCCATGTCTTTCATCTCAAAATTAGAAGACAAGAAAATTTTGGTTTTACGTACCAAATCAAGGCTAGAACTAAAAATAAGCATATCATCCACATAAAGGCAAATAATAACACATGTACCATCTATACATTTTGTATAAACACATTTATCTACTTCAATTGATGAAAAATCATCATTAATCAATACTTGATCAAATTTTTCATGTCACTGTTTAGGCGCTTGCTTTAGACCATATAAAGATTTTAGCAATTTACATACTTTATTTTCTTGGTCAGACACTATACAACCCTCAGGTTGCTCCATGTAAATTTCCTCTTCCAAATCACCATTTAAAAATACAGTTTTAACATCCATTTGGTGAATAAAAAGTTTATAAATAGAAGTCATGACAAGTAAAACACGAATCGAAGAAAATCTAGTTACAGGAGCATAAGTGTCAAAATAATCAATATTTTGCTTTTGGGTAAAACTTTTTGCAACAAGTCTAGCTTTGTATTTATCAATGGAACCATCCGTATTGAGTTTCATCTTAAAAATTCATTTACAACCAGTAGGTTTAGCTCCCGGAGGTAAATGAACTAAAATTCAAGTTTTATTTTGTAAAATTAAATTTAATTCTACATCAATAGCTTCTTTCCAAAATGAGGCAGCATACGAAGAAATAGCTTCAGAATATGTTAAAGGATCATTATCCACAAGATAAGTATAAAAATTATTACCAAAAGATTTTTCTTTCCTTGGTCTTTTGCTTCTTCTTAAATCCTCACTTTCAAAATCATTTTTAATAATTGGAACATGTGAAATATTATCACTTGGAATAATAGGAGCATCAGAAACTTTTTCAAATTTTA